AAGGAAAAAGAGAGGAGAGACTCCCTGGCAGCGCTTTAGGACATAACTTAGAGCCAACTGGGCCACACAGATTTTGTTCTCCTGTCTGGAGCCAGACAACCCTTGTCTCCAGTCTGGGATGCGTTTGTTTGGCTTTCACAGAGGCTGGAAGAGCCAATACTCTGGAGCAGCTTTTGTCTTCTCTCTGGAAAATTCCCCTAGGCAAGGAAAGGCCAAATGGCTTGGCCACCTGCTTGGAAAGGCGGATGAGAGGAGGTAGCTCTGGTGGGATTCAGTAAATCAGCCTAGCCTAGAGCTAGAGCATGGATTCCTTACATCAAAGTGGCTAGGGCTCACGCCCCTGAGCAGCTGCACGGGGCGGGCGAGTGCTACAATGGGGAAGGAAAAAAGCCTTAGTGGTAGCTAGGGAGAGCTGCTGGTCCTGGCCTCAGGGTCTGCAGGCCACTCCCTGAGTGGGCTGGCTGTGGCTCTAACTGCCAGAGGAGCTCTGACTGTACTGGAGGACATCTGCCCACACTGAACCTGAGAGTTAAAGACAAAACCAATTCAAATGAACTGCTTTGCTCCAGCAGCCCTAGTGACACATGTCCTGTTGACTCAGGCTCAATTCTGCTACTGTCATTTGGCCTTGATGACCAGAGGGCCCTAGGGCCTTCGATGAAGATGAAGGTCACCTATAGTTCCTGCCTGCTTTTCTTCCTTCCTTTCAACATCTTTTTATTTTATTTTATTTTATTTTATTTTTTTTAGAAACAGTCTTCAACCAGGCTAGCTGCAATAGTCCAGGCTAGCCTTTAAAAACTCTCTCTCTCTCTCTCTCTCTCTCTCTCTCTCTCTCTCTCTCCCTCTCTCCCTCCCTTCCTCTCTCCCTCCTTCCCTCCCTTCTCTGTGTCTGTATCTGCCTGTTTCTATGGCTGTATGTGTCTGTGTCCAAGTATGTGCACATATCTGTGTACTCAGAGGGCAGAAGAGGGCATTGGACCCCCTAGAGTTGGGGTTATAGGTGGACGTGAACCACCAGATACAAGTGCTGGGAACCAAACTCTGGTCTGGGAGAACAGCAATTGCTCTTAACTGCTGAATCATCTTCATTCCCTTATATAGTGTTTAAAAATCTTAGCTAGGGCTGGGTGGTTAGTGGCTCACACCTTTAATCCCAGCACTCAGGAGGCAGAGGCAGGCAGATCTCTGTGAGTTTTAGACCAGTCTGGTCTACAAGAGTGAGTTCCAGGACAGCTTCCAAAGCCACAGAGAAACCCTGTCTCGAAAACACCCCCCCCCAAAAAAAAATCTTAGCTAGGAGGCTGGAGAGATGGCTCAGCAGTTAAAAGCACTGGCTGTTCTTCCAGAGGACCCAGGGTTCAAGTCCCAGCATCCACGTGGCAGCTCATAACTGCATATAACTTTAGTTTCAAGATGATCGAAACATATATGTTTCACACAGACATATATGCAAGCAAAACATGAATGCACATGAAATAAAAATTATTTTTAAGAAAATCTTAGCTAGGGTTCTCCAGCCCCTAGGCTATCCTCACAATGTGCAGGCCTCTGCCTCTGGGGTGCTGGGATTATAGGCATATGTCACTCTAGCTGCCCTACTGGCTTTCTGTCAACTGCCTGGACAGTGAGGCCTGGGCGGCACCCTCTACACCAGCTGCAGCCACACCACCAAGATCCTTACTTTGTCCCTCTTATCATTGCTTCGTATTCTCCCTGCTTTAGTGTCCCCTCCTGTCTCTGGCTTCTCTGTGTGCTCTGACACAGTGCCTGCCCACAGGAGAGAAGGGACTTGTGTGCACACTGTATCCTGTACTCCTGCCAGTGCCCAGTGCATCTGTCCTTCACACCTGTCTCCATTCCCCATCTGTGGCAACGGAAAGAGTGTGTTCGCTGTGTATCTTGTGCAGAAATTAAAGCCTCATTTTCCAGAAAGAAAGCCAGTGAGATGGCTCGATGGGTAAAGGCACTTGCCACCAACCCTGACAATCTGAATTCAATTTCGGGATGCACTGCCCTTACAGGTCTCCTTTGGCCTCCACATGTTCACCATGCCACTTATGTGTGCTGCCCCCATGAGTAAACAAATGTCATTTAAAAAATGTGTGTTGGTGTTTTGTCAGCCTATGCCTCATAAGCATTCAGGGCTCAAAGAGGTCAGAGGGATCACCTGGAACTAGGGTTCCAGACAATTGTGAGCTGCCATGTGGCTACTAGGACTCAAACTTGTGTCCTCCGGAAGAGCAGCCAGTGCTCTTTTTTTAAAAAAAATAATTTATTTTTATTATTTTATGTGCATCAGTGTTTTGGCTGCATGTATGTCTGTGTGAGGGTGTCAGATCTTGAAGATAAAGACAGTTGTGAGCTGCTGCCATGTGGGTGCTGGGATTTGAACCTGGGTCCTCTGGAAGAGCAATCAGTGCTTAAACCACGGGAGCCATTTCTCCAGCCCCCAGTGCTCTTTTTTTTTTTTTTTTAAGATTTATTTATTATATATACAGTATTCTGGCATTTGTGGCTGCACACCAGAAGAGGGCACCAAATCTCATTACAGATGGTTGTGAGCCACCATGTGGTTGCTGGGAATTGAATTCAGGACCTCTGGAAGAGCACACAGCACTTTTAACCTCTGAGCCATCTCTCCAGCCCGCAGCCAGTGCTCTTAATCCACGACGTATTACTCTTGTGCAGTAAATATATATTCTTGAAAAGAAACTAAGACTTTATCCAAAGACCTCCTCCTCTTTTTTGAGACAGGCTCTCAAGTAGCCTAGGCTAGCCTAGAACTTGCTATTCTGATTCTCTTGTCTTCACCTCTGTGGAAGGCTGATTATAGTCTGCATCCCCTGTGTATGACATGGTGGGGGTTGAACCAAGGGCTTCCTGTGCATTCGGCAGGCACTCCCAGCCCCAAAACCAATTCCATAGGTTGTGAATTATCACAGGAGGGAATCCCACTTATCACTGTAGACACACCGGGATGACTGTCCTGTGGCCCAGGACCATTCCTGCTCCTCCTCTCCATACTCAGACTTTGGTAGGACTGGGAACAAGGTGATCCCTGGATAATCCTGACTGGCCATATAACCCTTTCTTTTAAATGAGTGAAACACATTTGTGGTCGTGACCTAGCCACCCAATCACCAGCTTCTTTGAATCTGTCCTGGGATTGCCTTCCATTTAAGAGCTGGGAATCCTTGTGTCATCGGGATGGGCACTGAGTCTCCTAGCCCCACTCCCAGAAAGAATGTACAAGCAGGGCTCTGCAGGGCGTGTGCTCCCAGTCCAGTGGGGGTCTTGTCCATAGTGCCTTGGGATGCTGGGCACCACCAAGGCTCATGGCCGCTGTTATATCAGGGCAGCTGTCCTTTTCCCATGGGTTGGACATTACAGGCTAAGAGCCAAGCTAGACTGTGATAAGGGCATTGGCCCCAACTTCTGTTCAAGGTCTCTGGATAGCCAGGAGGGCGGCTCTTAGACCAAGTTGGCTAGGGTCACCGGGATTGGGCAGGGCCTGGGGACCCTTATGGATATAAAAGAGTCCCAGAGTAGGCAACCCTCACTTCACTGACCCAGCACCATGGCATTCCTTTGGCTCTTGTCCTGCTTTGCCCTTGTGGGGGCCACCTTTGGTAAGTCCTGGGATTCAGGCCCCATCAGAGGGGAAGGAGCCAGAGGGACTTATCCTGAAAGAGCTGGTCCCCCACCCTTCCTGCTTGAACCAGGACCAGCACCCCCAAAAACCTCAGGGAGAACAGGGGTCCTTCTAGGACTTTTGGACCCTTATGCCCTGTTTCAGGAGCAAAAAGGCAAACCAGGGCCCAGCAGGGAACCATAAACCCAGATGTGTCTGAAGTGGGGGTGCTGAGCACAGCAGGAGCCCACCTACCTGGGGTTCAGTTGCCACACAGCAAATGCAAAGTGTTTTGTTTTCCTTCTGTTGTTTGTTTTTTTTGTTGCTTGAGACAGAGTCTCACTCTGTAGCCCAGGTTAGCCTAGAATTTACTATGCAGCCCAGGCAGGTTCAAACTTAAAGCAATCCTTTTGCCTCAGCCTCCCAAGTGCCTGGGTTAAAGACTTAATGCCGGCCACCACATCCTGCTTAGCATTTTGTTTTTCATTTGTAAAATGAAGAAAATAACTAGTAAAAACAAAAGGGGAGAGATTAGCCAGTGTGGTGGTGTGCCTGTAGTCCTGGCATTTGGGAAATGATGCTTCCAGAGAGACTGGGTCTTATGTAGTCCATCCTGATCCTCCTGCCTCCATCCTCCATCTCCCCAGTGCCAGGATTACCGGCATGCACCATCACGAACAATTTTAGAAGAATCTCTACTCTTCCTTTTTTTTTTTTTTTTTTTTTTTTTTTTTTTTTTTTTTGTTCCTTTTTTTGCCTGAGGCATTTTGTACCGAAACACCATCATCTCACCCTTTGGCTCAGCCTGGCAACTCCTGGGCTTAAGCGATTCTCCTGCCTCAGCCTTCAGAGCAGCTATGACTATAGGCTTTTGCCATTACACCAGCCTACTTTTTTTCTTTATGTGGGTGTCAGGGATCTGAACTGAGGTCATCGAGCAAACACAAATACTCCTACCCACTGAACCATCTTCTCAGCCTCAGTGGCCCTGGCTGTACTGGAACTCTATGTAAATCAGGCTGACTTTGAACTCAGAGATCTCCCTGCCTGTATCCTAGTGTTGACGTTAAAACAGTGCACCAACACACCTGGCACAAAGTCTAATTTCCTTAAAAAATGAAGGAACCAAGGTGGGCAATGGTGGTGTGCCTCTTTAATCCCAGTACTGCGGGGCAGAGGTTGGTGGAAGTTTGAAGCCAGCCTGGTCTACAGAGTGAGTTCCAGGACAGCCAGGGCCACACAGAGAAACCCTGTCTCAGAAACAAAACAAAAACTTAATAGTTATCGAAACAGGCAGGTACCACAGAAATGGCCAGCCTATAGGTTGAGCCATTCAGTCTAATGGTCCAGCCTGTTTTCTGTTCCTTCTCCTCTGATAGACCTAGGTAGGGGCAGTCATGCTTCTTGTCACTCCTGCAACAATAACTGGGTCAGGAGACTGTGCATGAGGGGACCTCTGAGCCTAGAGGTTAGAGGGGAGTGAGATGTTTCCAGTGGAGATGGCATGGTCTCAGTGGGCCCTGAGTTGACAGAGGTGTTCTTCAACATGGCTATCCTTATCCTCACAGGCTGTGGGGTCCCTGCCATCCACCCTGTGCTGGCCGGTCTATCCAGGATCGTCAATGGAGAGGATGCTATCCCTGGCTCCTGGCCCTGGCAGGTGTCCCTGCAGGTGAGAGAGGGATTCTGGGCACATGAAACACATTCTGGGATGCTACCCAGGTGGGGGCCAGTGACTTTCCTCTTCATCTTCCCCAGGACAAGACTGGCTTTCACTTCTGCGGGGGCTCCCTCATCAGTGAAGACTGGGTGGTCACTGCCGCCCACTGTGGAGTCAAGTGAGTCCAAGACTATCTTGGGGTTCTACTTCCAGCTTTGCTTGGGGCTGGGGAGGGGATCAGACCCATTTTTCATCTTCACCCATGTGTGTCTCAATGCCTAGGACATCTGATGTGGTGGTAGCTGGAGAGTTTGACCAGGGCTCTGACGCAGAGAACATCCAGGTTCTGAAGATCGCAAAGGTACATGGGCTGCTGCATGGGTGAAGGGCTCACCCACAAGCTGGGGGGAAAGCCCAGGAGGGAAGCCCCCCCCCTCCCCGGCTGCTTGAAGGACAGGAGCACAGTGGAGCGGGAGCTGGCTTTAGAATTCTGTCTCTGGGTCTGTTCTGATGGGATCAACAGGAAAGGAGCCTGTCCCCTGGAACTCCGCAGAGTCCAGCTCCTCCCAGGTCTCAGCTGAGCTTCCGGTCCCCACAGGTTTTCAAGAATCCCAAGTTCAATATGCTCACTGTACGCAATGACATCACCCTGCTCAAGCTGGCCACTCCTGCCCAGTTCTCTGAGACTGTGTCTGCTGTGTGTCTGCCCAATGCTGATGATGACTTCCCTCCTGGGACAGTGTGTGCCACCACTGGCTGGGGCAGGACCAAGTACAATGGTGAGTATGCTGTGGCCTTGCTAGAGCAGAGGCTATACAAGGGTCAGGCTGCTTAGGCAGTAGGGTTTTCCAGGCCTGACCCCCTTACTCCTTCCCTCCCTCCCTCGCTCCCTCTCTTTCTTTCTTTGTCTAAATCTCAATATTAATACATCTTTACATTTCTTTTTTTTTTTTCTTGTTTTTCGAGACAGGGTTTCTCTGTGTAGCTTTGGAGCCTATCCTGGCACTCGCTCTGGAGACCAGGCTGGCCTCGAACTCACAGAAATCCGCCTGCCTCCCGAGTACTGGGATTAAAGATGTGCGCCACCAATGCCCGGCTACATCTTTACATTTCTTAATTTGAAATTTGTTAATTAAAGTTGGCATGGTGGCATACTTTAATCCCAGCATTTGGGAAGTAGAGGCAGGCAGATCCTGTGAATTCCAGGCCAGCCAGAGCTATAAAATGACCCAGTCTGAAAAAAGATTATTAACTAGTAAACTATAAAGTTAACAATTAGTATGTGTTAGTTAAGACTTAATGTTTAAAACCTACCTGGCACAAAGGATTGCTGATAAGATGGAGAAGGGAGCCCTCAGTTCCATAGGAGCTGTTCTGTAAGACCCAGCCTGGGTCTCTGAGATCCAGAAGGGTGGGTACCATGTTGTCTTGAAATCTTACACACCCACTTGCCATGGCCACAAGATAGGGCTGGGCCTGGGCAGGGCAAGGACAATGTGACAGCCGTGCTCAAGGTCCAGGCCTGCCTGTGGTGGAACCAGACAGCAGCTGTCCCCATGATGCTTGAAAAGATCCATGGTGCTATCTGTCCAGTAGGCTGGTGGACCTAGGGACCCTGACTCCATTCCCACTATGCCTGCAGCCCTCAAGACTCCTGACAAGCTGCAACAGGCAGCCCTGCCCATCGTGTCCACCGCTGAATGCAAGAAGCACTGGGGATCTAAGATCACCGACGTGATGATCTGCGCAGGCGCCAGTGGTGTCTCCTCCTGCATGGTACAGCCTCCCACCCCACCCATTCACAGACCTGCCTAGCCCTGGTCAGGCTGGTGGAGAGCACGGGCCGTCAGTGCTCTGTGTTCCCACTGCCCTCTGCCCTTCTCTGCTGACCCAGTGCCCAGAAAAGGATGGGCTGATGCCAACAGACACTCCTGGGAGGCAACTCTGCCCAGACTGGTGCTGTTCTGCCCACTCTTGCCACCAGCTCTGTGAGCTCTATGTGTCTCCTACTCACAGAGTTGGGGTTGTTGTTTAGGTCCCTCCAGGAATACATGAGCATAGCTGGGGTTGTCAGTGAACCCTAGGAACTTGCCTATATGTCCCCTTGTACCCCACCAGGTCCAGGTATCTTTATCAGGTCTGAAGACAAGTCCTTTGTCTTTTTCTGCAGGGTGACTCTGGTGGCCCTCTTGTCTGCCAGAAGGAT